TTCTTGTATCCAACGGTAACAATTGGTTGTATTGTAAGTTCAAAAAATGAGAGAGAAGTGGAATAGGGGAATATAAAATGGAAAATTGTATATGCAATGTGGTGGAAGTTGCTAAGCAGTTCCAAACTGTGCATTTGCATAGAAGTTGGATATTAATTTAGATTAAATAAATTTACTGAATTACTAACATAAGAGAATATAAAAAGGATTACATAAATAAAGGATAAAAAGACTTAAAAGAAATACATATGTATACTAATGATTTTATCTACTCTATATTTTTATTTAATAAAAATATTTAAAAATTATAAATATTTATTAGATTAAATGGTATATGTTTAATCCTTAAACTTTAAGATTTTAAGTTCAAGAATTGTGTTTATAAGAGTAGTTAATTTTTAATATTATTTTTATTATTTAAAAATTAAAGAGTAAAATCGTTTAAAAAAATGTGTACATCAAATCAAACATCTTTATATGTGTTATAGATTACAGATAACTTTTTCTTTCCTAAATATGATGATTTAAGGAAGAAAAAAAAGTGAAGAGTGTCGATCCAATAAATGTTATTCTTACACTTAAAAAAATAATTATCATATACTCGACCATGCACAAAATATAATGTTATTAAATATATAACTAAGAATAAATTGATAAAATATAAATGATAAGTATGGATATATAATTAAAAAAAAAAAAAAAAGAACCACCTCATACTTAAAATACTTTAGATCACATACCATGAATGATCGCCTCATGAAACATTCATGGCAATGTTTTGGAAAACTTACACTTCTGAATTCAGCGACATAATTTCAAATAGAAAACTCTCATTCTTTAAATCTTATAGTCACCTCACCTTTAACTAATCACTGTGATTTGAAGTGTTATAGAGGGTGAATATAAAGAAAACTACAATTTTTGCAAATGATAAGAAACCGAATAGGAGGAAAATAATAAGAAAATAGAAAATGAGTGTATACATTTTACAAATACAGTATCACCTTTACAAATCTGCAAAATAAAATTATGAGGAAAAAATGATAAGATCTTATTAAGTAAACACAAATTGCAGAAGAAAAACAAAAGTAAAAGCAAAAGAGAAAGTGAGAAATATCTGCTCATAATAGAGATAAATAGCGAACTAGTGAGGAGAGGAGGACACAAATTGTAAAGTGAAGGAGCACATTCACAATTCCCTTCACGTGTGTGTCACATGTGATGAACAAAATCGACGTAGCATTTTCTTTATGTGTGGTATCACCACTATGAGTTTCAACCTTTGGACATAGGACATTATGATAAAGGGTAAGAAAAGTGAGAAGAAGGAGAAGAAGACACATGCACTTATAGCCCATTATCGATTCCCACATTTTTGCTCAACACACAACACAACAAATGAAAATAGAATGTGTCAAAACATGGCATCCATAGAGCCTTGCCTTCAAGGTAGTTGAGAAGTAAGTGTAACCTCATTTTTCTTGTATCCAACGGTAACAATTGGTTGTATTGTAAGTTCAAAAAATGAGAGAGAAGTGGAATAGGGGAATATAAAATGGAAAATTGTATATGCAATGTGGTGGAAGTTGCTAAGCAGTTCCAAACTGTGCATTTGCATAGAAGTTGGATATTAATTTAGATTAAATAAATTTACTGAATTACTAACATAAGAGAATATAAAAAGGATTACATAAATAAAGGATAAAAAGACTTAAAAGAAATACATATGTATACTAATGATTTTATCTACTCTATATTTTTATTTAATAAAAATATTTAAAAATTATAAATATTTATTAGATTAAATGGTATATGTTTAATCCTTAAACTTTAAGATTTTAAGTTCAAGAATTGTGTTTATAAGAGTAGTTAATTTTTAATATTATTTTTATTATTTAAAAATTAAAGAGTAAAATCGTTTAAAAAAATGTGTACATCAAATCAAACATCTTTATATGTGTTATAGATTACAGATAACTTTTTCTTTCCTAAATATGATGATTTAAGGAAGAAAAAAAAGTGAAGAGTGTCGATCCAATAAATGTTATTCTTACACTTAAAAAAATAATTATCATATACTCGACCATGCACAAAATATAATGTTATTAAATATATAACTAAGAATAAATTGATAAAATATAAATGATAAGTATGGATATATAATTGGTGAAATATATTAGCAAACACATCAAATTTCTCATGTTTTATGTACCAATTTTTTTTTAATAAAAAGTTTAAATTAGATAGGATCTTATATAAGGTTAAAATCAACAACTAACTTTTTTAAAGATTTTCAATGGAATTATTCATTACCTACCACATCTCTAAGCAAATATGAGTGAAATGATATAAAATATATATAAAAAAAAAAAAATTAGATTCAATCCCAGTTTTAACTAGTAGGAGTAAAGGGACTTAATCAGCTTTATATACCAATTAGTAAAAGAGAATAAAACCTATGAATTAATAGTACAAAATAATTTTATTTAGTCATCTAATCACAAAATACTTTATAATAAATTTGTTGTATTTTACAATAATTATGTTAAGATTCATATTCTCGACAACTTTTTATTAGCCGATGGTTTTTTATGCTAACAGCACATAACGATTAAATCCTTAGTAAAAATGATTTGAGAAGTAAATCTATTGTGTAAGGGAGGTGTATTGGTTTAGGATTTCATAGGATTTTAAAATATTTTTTTTGAGTAAAAAAGTTCGTTGGTATTCGATCAGGATTTTATGTCACTTAAAAATAATCTAGTGATATTCAATCTGGATTTTCAAGATTTTTTTAAGAGTCCATTAAAATTCATTGATATTCATTTGAGACTTTTTACTACTTAAAAACAATCTATTAGTATTCAAAAATATAGGGATTTTAATGGATTGTTATATTAGAGGAATTTTGAAGAACATTTTAGTGGTATCTATGTATGTCAAATTCATAAAACAATCTCATCTAAATCGATCAGATTTTAGAGGATTGTTTAAAGTGACTTTTCAAGTGCTTCAAGAATTTACAAGTGAGATTTTCATCTCTTTTTTTCTATGCTCATGTCTTCTCCATTTTTTTTCTCTTGCTAATAATATTGCATTACTTCTCATATAATATTGTACTACTGTTACCATTTCATTCCCCTATTTGTTGAAACTTCTATACGTAAATGATAGTGTCATTGACCGTCTCTATTTTTCTCTCCGTTCTCTTTAATTGACTTACTCTATTTAGTTGAGATTGTTCCTAAGTTATATAATACAAAAAAAACACTTGAAATTTCAACTATAGTGATTTTTTCTATAACACGCAAGAAAAGGGAAAGGTGAAAGTTAAAATTGATATCTTGATCTCTACAATCAATTGTATATCTTTAAAACCTTGTAATCAATTTAGATTTATTAAAACATATATATATATATATAAGATAAATTTGAGTTAGGGTTTCTGTGATCTCTTTTTGTCAAAAATTTACGAAATTCTACAAAATTTACAAAGTCTCCCAAAATCAATTAAAATCCTAACTTAAAAGTCTTGTAGAATCGTTAAAATCCTAATTGAAAGTATTGTGGAATCCTACAAAATCTTAAAAGTTATGAAAATCCTGAAAAGTCTTTTAAAATCCACAAAAAAATTTTAAACTAAAAAAATCTTTTAAAATCCTAATCCAATACACTCCCCTAAGAATCTATGATTTGAGAAGTAAACACATCATTACCGCATATGTAAACATGTGAAAATTACCATTAAACACGTCAATTTAAATTTATGGTGACAATTACAAATCTATTATTTATTTTAAAAAAATCAGCCTAATAACTTTGGTATGCTTGCAATATTGTATATAAATGGTTTATTATATACATAAAAAATTAATTACTAAATATTAATCCTAAGTATAAAAAATATTTCATATATTTAATATTTTAATTTTGACTTAAATATTCTTTTAGTTTATGTAAAATTAGTTATTTTTTATTTTAGTCCTTATAAGAAAAAATTTCACTTCACTAAAATTAAAATTGTTATTTTTAACTCTTATTATGTGATTATTTTTAATTATCTTTTTGCTCATTATAGGTCAAGTGATTATCTCCATTGACATCCACAACAATATTTGATATTATGTTAATATGCAACACTTTTAAATTCTTTTTTAAATTTTTAAAATAAATATTATTTATTTATCTTAAAATGAACATTAAGAACCAAAATAGTGACTTTTGATTTTAAAAATTAAAAATTAAAAAAAATATTTTGTAGAGACCAAAGTTAAAATTTACTCTTTTTTTAGGGAATAAAAGAACTATTCCCAATTTTAGAGAATAAAAAATAAAGATAATTTTTTATAGGACACTCATTTTATAAAGACTAAAAACATATTTAAACTTTTAATCTTATTACAATAAATAAATAAAATAACGTCATTAAAATGAGTAAAAATATACTTAAATAAAAATTGATATTTTAAAATCTTGATATTTTTCACTTTTTAAATTTAATTTAGAGCTCAAATTTTTAATTCTTTAATTTGCAATTAACTTTTAAAGTGCATGCAATAATATATTAATTAAAAATAACTAATTATTAAACACTTTTTTAAAATACATTAACATTATTGAATTATATAGATCCAAATTAACATATAATATATATATATATATATATATATATATATATTTATATACATACAATAATTTAAATTAATGTGACAATATATCAAATAATTCTCCAACTTTAAAATTTATGAACTTATTTTATTCGTTTAAACCTTTTTATTTTAAAAGTTGAATCATTCAAATTAAGTGTAAATGAAATATTGAGTAGAATA